GACGCATCATACCTCTCAATTTCGTCGCAATCCTCGTTCTCCGACTCTTCCATATCCTCCGCGTCCTCGCTCTCCTCCGTCTGCGCCCTGTCCTCGTACGCCAGGAAAGACTCGCCCGACTCGGAGCCGCACGTAGATTACCTCCGTCTCCTCCAGCGGGCGATCAAAAAGCGCGACGGGCCGATGTTCATGAAAGTCATGAGCGCAATCAACGCGCTCCTGTCCCTGCTCAAGTATCCCCCGCTCCCGCTGGACCCGTTTGACGCGCCCGCTGCCAACCACCTCGGTGTAACGGTGCGGGGGTGGCAGCGCATACCCACAAACGTGGTGCACCGCATCGCTGACGAGACGTACCAGCGTGCCGTCGGGCCGCACATCGACGTCCTGAAGCGGTACGAGGCGTTCTCGTCCGAAGTGTACGGCGAGCTCATGCCGACGTTCGTTTCGGACGTCATCCGTGCGACGGGCCTGCATGGGGGTTCTCTGTTTCTCGACATGGGGTCGGGCGTAGGGAATGTGGTGATGCAGGCGAGTCTAGAGACGGGGTGCCGGAGCTACGGGATCGAAATTATGCCCGGTCCTGCGCAGATCGCGCGGAGCCAACTGGAGCAGTTCAAGACGAGATGTCGGATGTGGGGGGTGAGGATGGGCGAGGTCGAGCTGGAGGAGGGGGACATGTTGAAGAGTGCGAAGGTGGACGAGCTGGTGAAGAGTGCGGACGTAGTACTGGTGAATAACAAGGTCTTCCTGGAGCCGCGTGAGTGTCTACCCTTTGTGATGGGCTCCGGAAGGTCTGCCGCGTGTGAATGGAGCGGGTCATGGCATGCGTTGTTGCGAGGTTTTCATCTCCCAGATGAAAGAAATTGGTACGGTGAGGATGTTGGTTATATGTACTGGTTGGGTGTGTCGGTGAGGATGTTGGTTATATGTACCGGTCGGTGTGTTGGTAGGTTGTGCTGTGGTTGCACCGTCTGCATGATATATACCGGCTACATTATCTACTGTACACCCCGGTCAACTGTTTTCTACCCTTTCGTTCTCCCTTGCAGTCTTCAATTTTGCAGATCTGGCCAAGTGCGAGAGGTGCCGCTTCAAGTACATAAAGACAGTCTGCTTTGAGAACACCTTAGCTGAACACCAGGCTGGCATCACCTCAATCAGACCATCACCTTCTGGGAGAGCTTCGAGACACCCTTCACGGGACCCTGGGCTCTGGTGGGAATTTGAGGTATCTGACCTTCTGATCGGGCTCGCATATGGTTCGGCTCCAATTGTTGGCAATTGCATCAATAGACTGCGACACACGGCACAGATCATACAGCTCAATCCCAGTCCCTAATCGGGTCCTCTGGGTCCTCCAAACCATCCAAACCCCCGGCCACCACCAACTCCCTCCAAACACCAGAACCATTCTCCTGGACACAACAGAGCCCATCCTTCCACATTGTGATAGGACGCAAGCCAACAGGTCCCATGGACTCAGAGTCTGCCACCTCCTCGCCAATCCATGCTGCGCTCTTTGGCCCATTCCGCTCATGACGGGGAGGAACAAAGTTCCCACACCCATCAAAGTGCGGCTTCCGACTGCCAATATCTCTCCGTGGGACCTTGGGAAGCGGAGCTGGAAAGAGCGGTCCCGGAACAGCATTTGCAATATTGAGCTGCGCTGCATCAAGCTCCTCCCGGGTCACAGCTGTGAAACATAAACCTCCGCTCTCGGCAAGGTGTATAAGGCGCCACAGGTCCGGAATAGTCGGGGCATCTCGACTGCTGAGATTACGGAAGGGGATGTTCTCTGGCCATCCGGCAAGCTTCATATTGTAGCGAAAGAAGATGTGCTTCCGGAATGCCTCGGGTGTGTAGCGCATCTTGGCGCGCTTGTCACCTGTTGCCTGTTCTGCAGAATTCTCAGGGAAACGTGAATTACAGGAATAGAAGTTGGGCTTACGGATGGCTTTATTGAGGGCAGTCCGCAGCCGTCCCCGGACATAACCAGCACTTGTGGCATAGATAATGGGCCGAGGATGGTCTGGCATGGCTGCTGACGACATGAAGAACAGTGTCGATGGGACTGAATGACTTTGGGATGAGTAGAGTTGCTGGGACTCGGAGCATTTATAGTATTGTGCCCTTCTCATGTTTGCTTGCTTCACAATCTTGGTACCAGCACAGGGTTTCATCGGGCAAACGTGAAACAGAATTGCTGAGAAGCCACGGTACACCTCTTGTTCGACAGAGATGTACAAAGCTTCTCGCAAGCAGGCGACATGTCCATGTGTCAGCACCAATTTGCTTGCTGTGCGCATTCCGACAGAAAGTGTTATAGACTACTACACTGCATTGCATTACAGGTAGACGTATCACAACGATGACCCATGCAAGAGTGGCCGGTGAACATTCCGTCCCGCCCATCAAGCGACACATTAATGTGAGGGTACAATCCTGCTCACTCCACCTATTTGGCAGCGGCAGTATAGTTTTCGTGCTGGGTACAGTAACCGTGTGCAGCGGGCGGAGGACTCGCGGCAGAAACAATGCTCCCGTCATCGCTGTCTCCCACACAGGCGTAACCTCCCAACGGAAATATGAATACGATGTTGTGATTGTGGCCAAACGCGGCATAATTTGCAGCAATGACAGATGGCGTGGGTTCGGTGCGAAGCATGACCCGTGGTGGAGAATCGTCTAAATACGCTGGCTGTGGGAAGCTATGGGATGGGGGATGGCCACATTACTAGGGGAAGTACACAATGGGCGACTGAACTGACAGGAGACTAGGTGAAAAGACCAGGGCTCGAGCGTCGAGGACGCGCTGGAGACGTAGACGGAGAGTACAGCGGTTCACAAGCTGCATCAGGAAAACGTCACGGACTTGGACCCATACTTGGGCCCAAGTTCATGTACTTGGACTCAAGTCCGTGTACTTGGCCTCAAGTCCGTGTACTTGGCCTCAAGTCCGTGTACTTGACCCCAAGTCCGTGTACTTGACCCCAAGTCCGTGTACTTGACCCCAAGTCCATGTACTTGGTCCCAAGTACACGGACTTGACCCAAGTCTATATACTTGGGGTACTTGGGGTACTTGGGCCACAACTTGGACTTTACATGTTGACTTCAGTATACTTAGGCCTCAATTTGAGCAATTGGTGTTCTATCAGTCACACATCTTGTATACTTCTTATGTAATAATATCTATCATAGACATCCATACACTAGTTGTAAACCAGTCTGTTTTAAGGCTGTAGAAGCAGCTTTATAGTCTATTAGAAGAAGGGCAATAACATGTGATAGAAGACTTTAAGTTGTTACAATGTAGCTTGTTTCAGTAGTGATACAGAGGTACAATAT